GACCCCGCTGTGCCGGCGGAGCTCCTCTCTCCTGCGGGGTGCTGGGAAGCAGGCAGGCGCGCAGGCAGATGTGGAGGCAGATCTGCCGGGCAAAGGGCTGAGCTCTCACCGAGGACACGTCAAAGGCAAATACTCGTTTATACAACACACCGACCTCTGATTACAGAGGACAACATTTGACCCAGGCTCCTTGATCAGACACTTCCCTGCCCAGCCTGAATAAAAAATCCCAACAGAAACCCAGCAAAGGGCTCAGCGGAAACCGAGTCCAGACTGCAAGAGGCAGGAGGTGGGCAGTGGTGGATAAGTGCGGTTTTAGTTACTTTCAGTCTTTTTCAGAGCTGCTTCAAGCATGCCAGGGGGCAGCCAGGTCAGGCTGTGCCTCCGCACTCCCTCCCTCCTGCGCCCATGAGCTGATCCTGTGACGGGCTTGGGCATCTCGCAATGAGAAAACGTGCCGAGAGCTGCGGCTCAGCATCAAAAGGCCTAGAAAGGGCTTGCGGGGGGACAGATAAAGACGCACCCCCAAGCTAACCCAGCTTGTACACCAGGTATCACGATCCTACCAGAAGAAAATTGACAAGCAAAATAAAAATAGTAGATGAGTCACCTATTAAAAGGCTGGCAGGAGGATCTGGTTGCGGTGTGGGTAGGGTTGACTCCTCACTAAACACTCCATGGCGTAAGAGCTGTATTTTTATCTTGGCTACGAGCACCTCAAATTTTAGATGATCTTGGCTCTGCCTGCTGACCCAAATGCCAGCCACGGGCCACAGCACGTAGGACCACGCCAGGCCAGCCGTGGCATGGACTATGCCAGCCTGAAAATGGGCCATGGACCATGGCACGCAGGTCTAGATAGACCACGCTGATCCAGACAAGCCAGAGGGAGGGAGGCCGCCATCATCTGACTTCACCGGGCCTTTGAACCTGGATGACTCCCAAGCTAATCAGCAACTGAATGGGACACCCATTCCTCCCCGACAGCCCTGTTTCACAAGCAGCAGCAATTTGGGTGTGTTTATGGAAACTAATGAAGGGATGACTCCAAAAAGGAGCGGCTTTGACAGAGCGCTAAAATCAGCCCACAAATTGTTTTCTTCTCAGAGGTGGTGTGTTATGATAAAAGCAGGAGGGGAGGAAGCAGCTTTGCCCCTGTCAGGGAGAGCGGTGGGACCAGGCCTGTGCCCCCCCACCCCCCCTTGGCATCACTGCTCCAGGAAGGCACCCGCACAGGGAGCAGGTTGGGGTGGGTCACAACTCAAGCCCTCCTGAACTCCATGAAAATGGAGTTTTGGACTGAAACTAGCACAATCCCATTTAGCTAAGGTCCTTAAATCAGGTCAGCTTGAAGATGAGTGCAGATGAGGGTTAAAAACGAGCTGGACATCCCCATCCCAGGGAGCAGGGTTACAGCTCCGTGTTGCAGTCACCAGTGTCTTGACAGAGCCAAAACAGGGTCTGCAGTGAATCAATCCCAGCTGCCTTTATCATGACAGGCCCAGAGCATCCTCCACGTACCTGAACATTTCAATCCCGTGATCTCTCAACCCTTCCTCCTCTGCTGGCTCAGTCACCCCTGGAAGGACAGTGGAGGCAGAGAGGCTTAACCAGGAACTGCCCCCATGCCTGGCTCAGATCATCAATCACTTCTTTCCAAGACTTCGTTTATGCCATTCCTAGGGTTGGGCAAGAGATCTGCCAGTCGACTACATTAACACCTTCATGCCCTGGCAGGACACAGGATTTCTACAATCCTGCACTGATTAAATCCCCCACTGCCCAAGCCAGAACCCCATAGTCAGCATGGGGAAGGAGAGGGCAGGACACCCACAGCCCCTCATTCGCCATCAGACCAATTCCCAGCCTTAATTCCTCAGGTTTAGAGGGTCAGGTTTAGAGTCAGCATGTTGACTAAGCAGCTTTTTTCTAAACCTCCTCCTTGACACAGCTGGATATTAACAGCCACCCACACTTTAACCAAGCCCACAGCATTCGCAGTGTGGGATTTCAGCTGCAATCCCAACCCTTGCCCTCTCTGCAAGCATACAACAGTTCCCAGCAAGAAAACAAGGCTCATTTATACTGCTACATTTTTATTAAAGTAACAAAAGCATACGTCTGTCAAAGGATTGTACATTCTGTATATAAAAACACTACTATACAATTAGGAACCATCCACTCCCTCCTCCAAGTGTAGCTTACAAACTTTCTACCATTTTCACCAAATACAAAAAGCAGGTCCCGTTCAACAGTCCAGCTTGTTAAAAAAGAGACAAGAAACCCCTCAAATACATTATCTTAAAATACTCAACCGCAGAGCTGAATGGTGTGTATCAGGCTTGTAGGCAGAAGGCAACAGAGCACACTAATTCACAGCTTTTACATGTAACCAGCTACAAGAGAGAAATGGATTATACCCAAGTTTGGTTGGTTTTGAAGCTAAAAACAAACACCTTTAACATCAGACTCCTCCACACCAGGGACAAAAAGAATGAGACTTGGCTATTTTGGTTCTGGAAGTGGGGGCATGTTAAGAGCAATTATAGTGTATTCCTTTGGTGTGGGCTGTTGTTCCTGAAAAACCTTTCTGGTAAGAGGGAGGGAACAGAGTAAAGCAGGGAGGGTGAATCTTAAGACTGCTTTGATCATGATAAATTATAACCCAAGGAAGTACCAGCCTTCAGGAAACTCCACATCCAGCCAAGGAGTCCAGCAAAGCAAACACTGCTCATCCTGGATGCAGTTCTCATCATGGGCTTTCCACGTAAGCAGGTTAAGTGAGGACTCCAAAAAGCACCGAGATCCCTTTTCCTTGAAAAGGGAATTTGCTTTTTGGAAGTTCCCAAGTACTCCCCCCTTGGTGAGGTCACCTATTGCACAAGTTCACCAAGGGAAAAGCCCCAGTGCTTCATTTCAGCTTCTGCTTTGCTGACATGAGAAATTCAAGTGATGCAGAGGGAAGTGATGCAACTTCAGAGCCACAGTCTATTACTGTTCAAGGACAACTAAGTCACCACTTGACATTTTAAAAGGATCTAAGAATTGAGGGTAGTTTTCCAGTTCTGGAATTCATGACTTGACACTTACAAAAATCTGAACTTACTTTTCCACATTAGCAGTCAGACTTGGGGAGCTGTGCTGATTTTGTTTTTTAATATATAAAAAAACAAGTTACGAACTGTGGCAGGCAGGAGGCTTCCTTCCTCTCCCAGAGCACCCAAGATTTGGAAACATATTGCACAAATGTCTGAGAACTTGATTCATCAAAGGCTAGGCAAGAACAACTCTAGTTACACCAGTCAGCTGCCAGGTCAGAAAAGAGGAAGGTAAAAAAGGTCTGCTGAGAGACAAATCTGGGAAAGTTTCATTACAACCAACCATGTCAATGCCCTACTTTTTCAATCACTTCTCCCAGGATCACTGGAAGAGCACCAGCTGGTTAGTAAAAAGGCAATGGACATACAACATTCTAGTAAAGGCTCATTCCCAACAGGTAGGTAAAGTTCTTGGGGCAGCACTTCCAGCTCCCACCCCATTCATAGTTAGCCAGAGCAGTTTAAGGGCCAAATTCTGAAAAACACTTGGGCAAAGTCTCCCTGAATACAAGTACCACTGGGACTCCAAAAGGAGTTTTACTTGAATGGAAAGAGCACAGGACCAGGCATTAATTGTGCAAAAGTTATGTACCAAGAGATCAGAACCAAACGATGCCCCTTACCAAGGTATCAGTGGAGCCAGCTCCCAGGGACAGCCACATGCTGATCACCCAGTGGAGGAAGAGAGGGAAGAAGTGCTGTGACTTTAAAAGCAAAGTTAGGACACCAAAGCATCTGAACATCCCACACACAGGGGGAAGAGACGCCCAATACTTCTGATTTTAAGAGACAGGGCAAAGGGGGTTCTCACACACCAACCTCTACAGCGCAAGGCGAGTTGCTTCAGCTCTTCTGGAGAAGTGACACAGCAAGTCATCAGCACTGGATTAGGCAACTTTTGCAAGCAAGAGGACAGACTCCACTCTCGGAGCACAGAGGCCAGACAGGAGCAGGTTGTGGGCTGATGTCTAAGCCACACAGAGCAGAAAGGCTTTGTAATTCACAGCTGTTCAGTGCTGGTTTCAGGGTCTGGAGTACCCTTCTCAGTGTGCAGCAAGTAGTGGGCGACAGCCAGGTACTGGGGAGCACCAGAACAAACAGTACTCCAGTGCCACCACAGCAGCTGCAATATTCATCTTGGGGACCTTCTCTGCACAGCCTGACCCCCAGTTCATCTCCACCTTGCTCCATTTCACAGGGCACTGGTACCTATGTGGCCCCCTCAATCCAACAGCAGACAGGAGAGATGGAGGGGTTGGAGAAAGGCCGTGCTCCCCCTTGCTTTGTGCTGGGAGTGGGGCAGAGCAGAGCTGCAACACTCACGGAGTAAGTGGGTCCAGAGGAGATGTGCAAGAGCAAAGGTGAGGGATCCTAGGGTCCCCAGCATCACCCAGCCCTGAGGCAAGGTTCCCCCAAACACTATATCCAGGACCCAGAGAGATCAGGCCAGCTGGGGAGTGAAGAAATTAGTGGAGGAAAGACAGCAACTCCTTCATCCCTTCTCCGACAATATTGCAATACTTGGCAATACAGCAATACTGTTGGGTACCAGGATGGCAAGAAGGTGACACAGACATCTCCCACCACCAAGCCACACTTCCCAGCCTGGCTCTTCCCCCTCTTCCTGCATTCCAAGCTGCCCAAGTGAGCAAGCCAGCCCAAAATTGCCATCCAACACTAATTAGGTAGATATCGGCTTCATAATAAAAACTTGTAAGCTTGCAACAGCTTTAAAAAAGGCACCTAGAACACCGCTTCTGGTCAAAGCGGTGCCCAATATTTTAATTTTGGATTTTCTTGGATTTTTTTAAAAAATATAAATAGCTCTTCATCTTAAAAATAGATCCTCAGGTGAGGTATACAGTAGCCTGTGTCTTGGCAGTGTAAGGACAAGAGGAGTATTTAGCTGGAGACAGTCATGATGTAGTTTTTGGAAGGACTGGTGCGACCTAACATCATCTGGTTCTTGCAGGTAAGCATCCCATAGGAGCTCACAGGTTTCGTTGCAGTCGCTTCATATAAGACACAGATGGAGCCATCCTCACCGATGCGGTATGACACCTCATAGGGGTCCACCCAGAGCGTGAGCTCGCTGGGCAGGAGCTGGTAAAGCTGTGGTAGGCTGAGTCCGATCTGGCTAGCTGCCTTGCTGATAATGGGGTCCATTTTGTGATTGATCCGGATGCAGCGATACCCAGAGCCTTTGAATGGTTTCTCAGGAAACCATTGATCCTCCTTAGGCTGCCTCCATCAGACAGAGGCTCCAGAGCCGAGCGCTCAACTATTCAGCTGCTGCGTGCTCCAAGGCGCAGAAGCGCAGCTCTTCGGGTCCTTAAAACCCCAGGCAGGACGGTGCACTGCAGGAGGAGGAAACAGAGTCCTCCTTAGGCTGCCTCCATCAGACAGAGGCTCCAGAGCCGAGCGCTCAACTATTCAGCTGCTGCGTGCTCCAAGGCGCAGAAGCGCAGCTCTTCGGGTCCTAGAAACCCCAGGCAGGACGGTGCCACAGGGGCTGCAGTGACAGGACCCCAACACCTTCTCACCCCGACTGCTGGGGTGGCTGGGGTAGATACCATATCACCAACAACAAAACACCAGTCAGGGAGCAACATCCAGGTCATTCTCTAAGTTCGGGGCGTATCGCTACTCCTTATCTCAGCACAGCAGCAAACAAACCATCCCTCCTTAGGGCTGAGAACACAAGGCTGCGTTAGGCTGGGAGGAGACCCTTGAACCACCCAGTTACTGCTGAGCCCCAGACAGGCTTGTGAACAGGGGAGTGCCAAACCCCACTGACACAGGGCTCAGCACTTCTTGCCAGGGGATGGGGCACTCAGAGTAGCTTTGGATCATTTGTATCAAGCCCCAACAAGGAGGGCTTCAAGCAGATGGGCTGCACAAAACCCTCAGAGACTAGGCAGGGAATCTGCTCACTTTCAGGGCTGAGGCAGCTGTTTGCCCAGGACCTCACAGGGACACAGATGGGTGCCCAGGGAGGCACACAGATACCTGCCAGTCCCCAGAGGGATGCCGATGGGCATCCAGGCAAAGGCACAAATAGGCATCTGGCATCAAGGATGACACAGCTGAGTGTCAGGGAAGGACACAGATGGGTGCCCAACCCAAGAGGACACAGGTGGGCACCCAGGGAGAGACACCAGGTCCGGGGAGCAACACGGGGGGCACCGGGGAAGGACACCAGTGGGCGCCCGGCCCCGAGGAGGAGAGCAAGAGGACGGACACGAGTGGGCTTTTCTCACCCCGGACCTTCTTCTCTGCAAAGCTGATCTCTTCCCCGGCCCGCGGGGCTGCGCCTCACCTGCGAGCGCCT